CAGGAGGCTGGGGAGGAGGGACGCAACTTCAGGAGGATGGGGAGGAGGGACGCACCTTCATGAGGATGGGGAGGAGGGACGCACCTTCAGGAGGATGGGGAGGAGGGATGCACCTTCAGGAGGATGGGGAGGACGGACGCACCTTCAGGAGGATGGGGAGGAGGGACGCACCTTCAGGAGGATGGGGAGGAAGGCACCCACCTTCAGGAGGATGGGGAGGCGGGCGCCCACCTTCAGGAGGATGGGGAGGAGGGCACCCACCTTCTGGAGGATGGTGTGGGACACAGAGGCACTGGCGTGGACGATGACGGTGGCTGTCTTGTCGTCCCGAATCTCTTTGAGGAGTGGGGTGGGGTCCCTGGTGTCATCCAGCATCCGGACTGAGAGTGTATCCTTGGAGATAAGGAATTGCCGGAGCAGCTTCTCCAGGTTTAAAAGGCCTGGAGGGGAGAGAGGATGAAGGCCCTGAGGGTCCGCATGCCACCTGGGACCCCTGGAGCAGGAGTAGGCCACCCACCAGGGCCTGCTATTGGCAGGTCGCCCAGCAAGTGCATCTTTGCTTGAGCAAGTTTCTTAGCTGTTTTGAGCTTCAAGTATCTCCTCTTCAATAAAACATGCTCCTACGCTTCCATGGCTCCCCCTGACTCCCCTGGGAAGCTCCTATAAGGTAGACAATAGACTCCCCCCAGGCAGAAAGAGCCCCCACTTGCTCCTGGCCCTTGGGCAGCACTGGTCAGCAGGCAGCCCTGGGTCAGGGGCCACCAAGCCTGGGCTTCTTGCCCTAACTTGGCTACTTGCTCACTGTGTGACCTGTTCATGTGGCCGGCTCCCTTGGCCTAAGTTTCTACATCTGAGAAATGAGAGCAGAGACAGCGTCCAGCTCCCAGGGCCGTGGCGTGGATTAGATGAGGCCCATGAGACACTTGGGCCCAAGAGTGCACACGGTAAACCCTCCTAACCGTCACATCCAGCTCTCAATAGCCTGCGTCTGCATTGTGGGGGTCGAGGCCCGGTCCCTCGTGATCACAAGGCCCAGAAAACAGGTCTTGCAAACACTGAGAACTCCTCAGAGCACAGTGGCTGCATCAGACAAAGTGTTATTATAGCTTTAAAAGAACAGGCTTCAAGCTGCCACCCCAGGAGGCCATCGTGGGGCCCAGAACAGAACAAGAAGACTGGACCGCTCTAAGGGCACCTCCTCCCCACCCCACTCCCGTCACTGCTACCTGCCTGGGGCAGGGGTGAAGGGAGAGAGTCCAGAATGTGTGAATGAGACAAAAGGTCATAATTCTGCTCTGTCTTTAAGGTCTTTAAGGCAGGCCAGCAGAGTGTGCAGGTCTCCTGGGAATACAGTGGCTCAAGCCCAATGGAATAGACCTATAGGCATTTGCACTTTAAAGCAAGCTCAGAAGTAACATTTATTAAATCCTTGTTATGTTCCTGCTAATTGGCTGAACATTTTACGTGGTCCATCTCCTGTCAGCACTCACAGCAATGCGACAAGGCGCCATAAGTCCATAGCACAGAGAGCCTGAGGCTGCAGGCAGTGCCTTAGAGGGAAGGCCTGGCTTTCTGACCAGGCAGAGGCCCCCAAGCTCCCGTTTCCATCCTGGCTGAAGGGGCCGGAAATGCAGGAATGTCCTGAGACGTCCAGAGACCCTCCCTGCTCAGGTAACTCACCCTCTTGACTCTTGAGAATCAAAAGGTTAGTGAGAGCCGGAGCTGGGAAGAAGGTCACATGCCCTCCTCTTTTTGTTAGAGGTGGCAGCCTTGCCTGACAACCAGGGAGCCAGCTGGGCTGAATCCCATGTTCTCCTCAACATCCAGCCCTCTTCCCATAGGCCAGGCTGCCTCTGAGGATAGAACACACAGAAGGCAGCAGGCACAGAGCCTAGGCCGGCCCAGGGCGTCTCCTCCAGATGTGATCAGGGCAAAAGTTGCAGATAGAGCCCAAGGGCCTGGCATGAGGGAGATGGGGGCTCCAGGAGGTAGGCAACCTCTGCCCTCAAGGGGCCTGAGCAGCATTCCAGGGGCTGGAAGCTGGGCGTGGGGTGGGGAGGGGAAGCCTGGAACGGCCAGCTGAGCAGTCATGGAATGGGGTTGCCTTTCCTTCCTCCCCACAGGACACCGAGTGTAAAGAGCCACTGCGGTCTGTGCCCCTCGAAGCCCCTCTCCACCGGCCTCCATGGCAATGAGGGTGGTGGGCACTTGCTGCCAGTCCCTGATGCAGGTCTGGATTCAAGCTCAAGGTCAGCCCTCACTGGCTCTGTGACCTTGAGAAGTCACCTAACCTCTTTGAGGCTCCATCTTCATCTGTAAAATGGGTATAACAGGCCAGAGCTCAAGGAGGTCCTTTAGGAAAGCTCGCTGGGAACTGGAATATGTAGTATCCATGTCACTTCTCCTGTATTTACTCATCCACACAAGATCTCAAAAGGCGTGGCTCAGTGAGGCAGAACGTGAGAGGGGAGAGAGTAGAAGTCTTGAACCAAATTCACCCTGTGCACCCCAAGTGCCAGGCACTGGCCCACAAAACCCAGAAGAGAAGATGGAGCAGGTACAGACCCTGCCCTCCAGGGGCTTAGGTCCCAGGAACTAAGTCTATAGGAAAGTTCAGCTCATGTCCCTATTCTTTCATGGCCTGAATGCCGGGTTTTCTAGGGGCCCCGCATTTTGTCCTATAAGTACATGGAGAGTATTCACCACATCGTCCTTGTTGCTGATGGAAAAGCACAGCCTCACCTGCACAAAGGCCTGGAGCCCGCCTTTCCAAGGCGGCCACAGAGGACCTGGCTCTCGGCATCTCCTTGACTCAGGAAAGCCCTGTGGGAGCTGCCGGAGGGAGCACGCAGCTGCAGGGGGAGGGGGTGCGTCGCGGGGACCTGGATGTAGCAGGGAGAATCTTCGGAGCGTGGCTGGGAAAGAGGCCAAATGCCCTGGGATCATTCAGTCTTGGCAATGAAATTCAATGGAACGAGACCGGAAAGCCTGTGGGTGACAGCAGGGTGACACTCCTCCCAGAGGCCACATACACTGAGGTCTGAGCTGGGGTCTGAGCTCCTGGGGAAAAGAGCCTCCCAGAGGCCACATACACTGAGGACCCTGCTCCAGGCACCACCGGCATTCCCTCCGCTGACTGCACTTTAACCCCTTCCCCAACAATTTTTTTGTTAAAAACATTTCTTTTTCAGACTAATTTTTTTATTTTGGTTCTATATAGTATTTTTGATGCTGGTTATGAAAACAGTTTGTAACTCGTCTTCCTATAAACCATATTTTTTTACCATATTTTCTTAGTATACTCGTCGACAACTGAAAAAGAACATTTTGTGAAAACGAGTATACACGTTTCTGCCGGGGAAGGGGTTAAACAAAGAAGAAGCATCAACCCCATCTCATCCAGCTGAGGCCAGGGGAGGGCAGGCAGGGGAGGGCAGTGAGCCTGGGAGGACCGCATCCCACCAGGGTCTCCCAGCGCTCACTCTTTTCTCCAGCCTGGACCCCAGCTGAGCAGCAAAGAGAGCACAAGGCCTGTGGGTGGACCCCAGCTCTCCTGCAGCTGCAGGCAGTGTGGGCACTTCCTCTGTCCTCTGGCCTCAGGGTGCTCATCTGGAAATAGGGAGAGTAACTGTCTCACAAGGTTAGTGAGAGGAAGCAGAACAGTGTCTGTCACCTGGAAGGTGCTTCGCAAATCCAGTTTCCACTCCTCTCCCTCCCACCTTCATAGCTCAGCCACCCTTCACACCGTCTTCCACCTCTTACAAAACTTATCATCCTGCCCACAAAACACAGCCCTTATTTATGTCAACTGATGACCAATGATGTCAATTCAACACCAATAGGAATCACCAATTTGGGGTGTGGGGAAGACGAAAACCTTATTTAGTGCAAATAGCTCAGCAGTAATAGAATGCTATCGCAGGGCCGGGAGGCCACCCGTGAGGGTTCCAGGGCCTAGGCCTTTCTCAGCAGGCAGCTCTGCCCGCTCCACCTGCTCCACGCCAGGCCACACCAGTCTGCCTGCTCCGCCCGCTCCACACCAGGCCACACCAGTCTGCCCACTCCGCCTACTCCATGCCAGGCCACACCAGTCTGCCTGCTCCACGCCATCCACGCCAATCCACACCAGTCTGCCTGGCTTTGCTCTGTGCTGCTAGTGCACTCTGCTCGGCTCCAGTGAGACATCTCTGAGATGTCTTCAGTGCTTCAGTTGCAGCCTGAGAAAGACAGACTCCAGCTGCTATGGAAAGTGCACTCCAAGCCAGAGGGGAGTTCCGCCCGCTCCATGCAAGTCCACACCAGTCTGCCTGCTCTGCCCGCTCCACGCCAGGCCACACCAGTCTGCCTGCTCCACGCCAGGCCACACCAATCTGCCTGCTTCACGCCAGTCCACACCAGTCTGCCCGCTCCACGCCCGGCCACACCAGTCTGCCTGCTCCATGCCAGTCCACACCAGTCTGCCCGCTCCACGCCAGGCCACACCAGCCTGCCTGCTCCACGCCAGTCCACACCAGCCTGCCCGCTCCACCCTGGCCCAC